AAAATAAAATCTTCATGAGTACTTAACTTATGTAATGTTTATTACATTCTCACTTAAAGGATAAATTAATAAAAATAATTATCAAATGGGACCCATGGAATGTGGGGAGTGTGGGGTGGTAGAAAGTCTTTTCAGTGTATACTTTTGATTATCATTTTGATTTTTGAATCGTGTAAATATTTTACCTATTCAAAAATAAAACATGAATATACATACCTACATGTAAATATATGTTTGCAAAGGTCAGGTGTCCCTTTAACTTCATACCATACAAAGGAGCCATTCCTTTGAATATAGAAAATTACGTTATTTTCTTCTTTAAATGTCCTAGGTTTTCAGGCAGTATCCCTGCTTTATTAAAGTTGATCTATGTCCTCAACTGAGTAGACTTAATTTGAAAAAGTTACTTCATCTAAAGACAGGACATGATTTCAATTGTAATCAAAGTATATACTGTTACATGATTGGTGGGAAGTTCATTTGTCCTCTAATAAGCTGGTTACCACTGACAAATTTTAGAGAAAATGTCAGGTGTTCATTTTATTATTAGCTAGTTTCTTCAGATAGCCCGGAGCGGAGGCTGATGGTGGAGGGGAAATCACTTTTTTTGACTTTGTATTTTTTAAAATCTTGAGTGCTCTGAATCTTCTAACAAAAGGGTTTTATGGGTCTCTTCCTAACCATTGGATTTCCCCCCCCCCCCAGACTTCTTTTCAGAAAGAACTTTACTTTGAAGTAAGCTGATTGTTTATTTAGAAAATTAACTTTTTGCTGGGTACTTGTACATATTGTATCTGAGGGCAAGAATTTAAGAGTCAGCTTTTTTTAAAAAGATAATATAATATATAGAATATACTTTCCAGAAGAATCCAAGATGTACATCTTCATAAAATTTTGGATTATCTTATTTCATTTCTTTTTTTTTAAGTAAAAGATACTACACTAACTTAATGTCTGTTATAAAGGTAAACATTTATTTTTTTAATTATGAGACTACTTTATGCAGCATTTAGAATCATTTTCCTAATGAAAGTCATTTGTTAACTATAGCAGAGAGTATTAAAATGTACTAAGTCCAAATACTATTTCTTTTTTTCTGAAGAAACATTTTAGGTACTTAAATAACTATAGGCACGCAGTTTACTTATAATAAAGAATGTTAATGGGGAGGGTAGGAGTTAATTAACTAGACCCTTAATAATGGGCCAAGGAATCTTACAATTGCCTCCCTCCCGAAGCTAGTTGTGTAGCAAGTTGCAAGATAAAATATCTAGATTTGTGAAGTAGTCATTTTGAGAAAAAGGTTGCCTTCAGGCAAACTTTGGTATTTATTATTATGTAAAATGCCTTTTTAATGGTAAGCAATACACGTTGTCAAAGTAATTCTGGAGATAGAAGTGCAGTACATCCTGTTTACTCAAGATTAAATGAACAAATAAGGGTAGGACTCCCAATAAGCCCAGTTTTTGCTTTCTTTGAAGAAATAGAACGTTTTGGCCAAACTTTACACACTTAATACTAGTATGATAGTCTTAAGATATTGTCATGATTACCAAGAATTGATGAAGTGTGGCAATTTTCTTGAAAACTATATTTGAAATGAAGGGAATGGAAAAACATAGGGAACATTTTCATTAAATGCCAATATAAGAAGTATGCAGGTTAAGATAGAACTTATTACATAATTTCTGCAAATGCTCCAAGCTCCAAACTGGCTTACTTTATTTTAAATCCTCCCCACCCCCCAACAAAGAATACTTAATTTCTCCCTTTGGGATTGCTCATTTTGTATCTTCTAAGCTACTTGAAAAATGTGATCAGTCTGTGCCAGGACTGCAATAGGATAACAGTTAGTGGAAATAGCCTGCCCTGCCTCTATTGGGAGGACTGTATGGAAAATATATTCCATTTTCAAAATGTTTCTGAAAGCACTTATTTGTGGAAAGGATGCTTGCCATTTAAAACTCTTCAGAAATGCAGGTTTTTCAAAATACAAAATAATCTCCTGAAAGTTTGAAAGGGGAAGGGGGCTGTCGTGTGGGGGCGGGCTCATTTGCTGCCCACATCCTCCTCTGTTCAGTGCGTTGTGTGCTTACGGGTTCCCTGGAGCGGATCACCATATAATTGATGTGCAGTCTGCATTGCTGAATCCTGGACTGCACCATTCTGTGTTCAAGGGAAGATGTAATCTGATCCCTCTGCTGCTGAGGGAGGAATCTGTTCAGTCAAGGCTTTGACAGGGCATAGTCTCCTCCAATAATCTTCTCGGTTCTCTCTCATTATTCCCTCGAGTTCTCCTCAGTCAAGCTGCATGTATGTATGTGTGTCCCGAGAAGCGGTTTGATACTGAGCTGCATTTGCCTTTACTGTGGAGTTTTGTTGCCGGTTCTGCTCCCTAATCTTCCCTTTCTGACGTGCCTGAGCATGTCCACATTAGAATCTGTGACATACCTACCTGAAAAAGGTTTATATTGTCAGAGACTGCCAAGCAGCCGGACACACGGGGGCACAGAATCACTGAAGGGGAAAAATACAGAAAATATGGGTTTCTACGGCACACTCAAAATGATTTTTTACAAAGTAAGTAATCTGTTTTCTTCCTGTGTTGTATGATTGTGTGTGTGTGTGCCTGCCTGAGAAGGAAAATCTGTATCATCAGAGATGGCTGCAGTATCCTCTAATTTTGGTGGGTGGCTGGATGGCTGGTATCGGTTTTATATCGTGGATGTAAGCAAATAATGCAAAGACAACGTAAGCTGTAAACAGCTTTAAATTTAAAATAAAATGTGTATTTTAATCCGGGAATTTTCCACTAAAATATATTTAGACTTTAGAAATGTGGCTCCGTTAAATGCTGACCTGGAAATACTCTACCCTTAGTTGGCTTTTAGTGAGTCTTTTGCCTTTAATTTTTCTGTATATTATACATATTTCTTTTCTTTTTCTTTAGTTGACTCTTTTAAAGCCTAGAATCACTAGAATATTTAGGACTTCTATTTTAAAAGATCGTATTTACTTTCTGTGCCCCTTAAAAAATTGCAGAATTAACGTTTGGTTCTAAAGTCAGGATTTTCAGTAAACAGTATAATATTTAAAAGACTTCTGTAGTCTTGTAGAAAGTCCTTTATTTTGTAAAATATTCTGAAAATAAAAATCCTTTCCAAATGGTTCCCTTGATATGTATTTGGGGCATTTTTATCCATTGAAGGATTTCTAAGATGGAAATAAAGTTTGCTTTTGGTGGCAAATGGCATTTGCACCAATGTGTATTTGCAAGATACCCAGGGAAGTTCTGAAAGCCAGTATTACAACTTAATTAGAATGAATATCAAAGTTTCTCATATTAATTTTGAAAATAAGAATCTGTGCAAGTTATTAAAAATGCTAGATTTTTAAGGTAATCTGTACCGACTGACCTTCCTGAGAGCTACATTTGCGTGTATGTGTACGTGTGTGTCTGTGATTTATATATATGCAAGCACGTGGCTATCTATATATTAAATCCTATATATTTATTTTTGGCTTTTATTAAAATTATTTGGAGAAAGAAAATAATGGTTTTTAAGAGGAATCACTTTAAAACAACATAATGAGTACAGAAACTTCTGAAGGGTTGAATTAAGACCAATTCCATTTCTTTCCAGTAGGTATTTCTTGAACTAAGGCATAAATTGTGGACAAGCTTGCTGTACCCTCACGCTAGCTCCTGATGTCATAAGATCATCACTGTATTTTGGAAGACTTTTTCATGATGATAAAAATGTCTTTATTATCCATAGTGTGGTTCAAAATTTGTTAGAGTCTTGATGGTTCTCTTTAGTATTTATAATGCAGCATGCTGTTTTATGATGTTCCCATGTGAGGCAGTAGGTAAGAAACTAAGTCTGCTGCAAAGCAAGGGTTTTTACCTTATTCTAAAAATGAGGATAGCTCTCTATCACTCTGGGATTACCTCCCCCACATAATTTTCCATAGTACAGTAATTAATTAGCAGACACAAATCAAAATAGAAAAAGTTGCATCTTATTAGATCTTATTTTCTAGTTTTATGACATATCTATAGTCAGATGACCTCAGTTAACAGATGGTGAAATATAAAAAAAATAAATATTTCAATATTGATGTTGACATACAATTCTGAATGTATTTACGGTATTATACGTATATAGCATAAAGAAATACTTTAAAAGTATAGATGTTGGATATACCTTACAAAGATGTACAATTCGTTCTTTTTAAATGTTTTTGTTGATGTTGCTGAAATTTTCAAGTTAGAATATTTTGTCCTGAGTGAGCATCTGTCAGTGAAGTTATATTCTGTGTAAATATCAATTGATGGCTTTTTTCCACCTTTATTATACCATCCCCAGGCCTCTCTCCTGTTACAGATTTACTTTTTTACTCTCCTCATTGTCCATATTCGTTGCTTTATGCCTTATTATAATTACTTTTCAAGATCATCTTATTTACATTGTTCTCTTCACACTTTCATAATAAATATGTGTTTTAAATTCAGTTACTGTTACTTCCATTCAGGTTTTGAAATTTTGAGTTTTTTTGTATATTTTGTCTTGAAATACGTTTTTAAAGGAAAGTGATGATCACTAAGAGAGATACGTTAAATATGGTTCTTCAATGTGTGTGTTTACATGACATTTCCCCCTGTGTTCTTAAACTGGGAAACGTGAAAGATATATGACTCTCAAGGAATATGTATGATGAATATCAGTTTTTAAATCACCATATGCTATTCTTCTGAACAAAATATTGGGGGGGGTGGGTAATCACCTTTCTCGTCTTCAAAGAGTAAAACAAAGTAGAACTAGTAGAAGAAATCATAGAACATTTATTTTCTACATACATTAACTATGCCTAATTAATGAAAATTTAGGCTTATAAAAATTTAAGAAATTTTTTTCAATAGTACCAATGCTAATGTTAAGACAGTTGGACAGGTGATTTTTTTTTTTAAAACCTATCTTATTTGCTTTACCTTATAGATGAAAAGAAAATTGGACCATGGTTCTGAGGTCCGCTCTTTTTCTTTGGGAAAGAAACCATGCAAAGTCTCAGAATATACAAGGTAATATTAACCATAATTGATTCTCTCATGATTCTTATGTTTCTTTAAAGAGTTGATGATTCCAAAAACATTTCTTCCAGTTTATTCTCGTAGAATTATAATGTTACTGGTACTGTTGACTCTGTAACACATTTTGAGATCACTGAACATTGAGAAATGCATAGTCCCAAATAAGAAGAATGACTACTGCTGTAGCTTATATTTTCTTACTAATACTTTGAAATAAGACACAAGCACAAGTTCTCTTATAAGCAGAATTTTTAAATCACAGTTTTTAAGGAATTCTAAAAAGTAAGTTCTAAAATATGAATATGAGCAAATATATCTTGTTACTATAGCAACAGCTGCTCTAGGGTAGATATTTATATATGCAAAATTGAAGATACATTTATTAGCAGTGAAATAAAACTCACAGTTACTAACTAAATCTTCCTGTGTTAGGAATCCCCTTTTTTTTTCTTGGTATATCTTATGTTTTTAACACATCCATATCCACACCAGTAAATTAGGTTTCCATAACAACTAAATACAATTGTAGTCTTGTTTTGTGCACCATTCCATCATTTTTTGGATTTTGCATCAGTATAAAACTTTTCCCACTCTTACGCTAATTAGGCTAACTTAAGCACAATATCTATTACCCAGCCAATTAAAAATGGCTTTAGATGTTATTTGGAATGTGGTATTTTAAAATTTAAATGACAAAAGTATCTTCAGAGCTTTTTTGTTCTTTTCTGCATAATTGTCACTTCTTCAAATCACTGATTAAAAGTTAGCTATAGAAGCCCTAAGAACTTCATGATGGTAACATTTCTTCTTTTTTCCTTAAATATTTTGATTTAGAGTTATGTTTATTATATAAGATGCAATAAATTTAACATTGCTCAGACTTAAGTTTCTGTGATGGAGAATTGCTAGAGATTGCATCTCTCTCTCTCTCTCTCTCTCTCTCTCTTTTAAGAAAGAGTTTATATTTTTACTTCATCCAGTTCTGGAAAATACTTTTTTAAAATGCTCTTCTATGAAATTTAGAAATCATAAAATAGTTCTCTATGCAAAAAATGCGGAGATGATGCAGAGGAGAGAAATAAAACTATCTCTTAGTTATTTAAGAAATGCTTTCAGTATGATTTCCCATGTTAATTGTTCCCCTCTTAGTTACCCTTTGCCTTTTGACAATTTCACTGTGTTTGGCACTTCCACCAGAGGGTGTGGGGTGATAGACACATGAAACTCTTCACTTCATTTTTGCTTTTTCCTTCTAGTCTTGAGAAAGTATTTCTCGGATGAGAACGTTGAGTTTAATGTTAAAAATGTACTACTTTTAATGTATAGATTGCAGTGAACCATATCATTTTGGTCTTCTGTTAATATGGCTGATACCAGGACAAAGGTATTAAATTGTTCAGTTGTGTTTAAGGCAGCTTGTAAACAAATGCTGAATTTTTACTACAGAACACATTTTAAGAAAATTTGTTTTTAGTTGCTCACTTTTTGTTGTGAGAAAATACCTGAAAATGTGCAAGTTCTGTTTTCAGCCTTTTAACATATAACTTACCAAAGCAAACCAAACTGCATATTGATTTCCATGTCTTTTCGGAGACTTTATCAGTATATATTTGATGCTTTTTAATTTTTTTGACAGATTTTCTAATAATAATAATGAAACTATGATTTTCTGTCTTCCTTATTAGAAAATTTATGATCACATTCTGTTTCATTTTGGAGAGGAAGACAGAGCTTACCTCTGAAATTTGATAGCCAGCATGGGGCGCCTGGGTGGCGCAGTCGGTTAAGTGTCCGACTTCAGCTCATGTCATGATCTTGCTGTTTGTGAATTCGAGCCCCACATTGGGCTCTGTGCTGATGGCTCAGAGCCTGGAGCCTGCTTCGGATTCTGTGTCTCCCTCTCTCTGCCCCTCCCCTGCTCACGCTCTGTCTCTCTCTGTCTCTCTCTCTCAAAAATAAGTAAACATAAAAAAAAAAAAAATTTGATAGATGGGAAAATAGATTTAATTGTTGTATGTTAGAGATTATCTTGGATGTATAATATTAAAAGGTTTAAAGGTGGTAGATATGAAGATTTCTCTGTAAAATCTGGTGACTAAAATACATTTTTTAACAAAATAATGAAATATGCTGGATAGAAAAGGATTGAGGGTATTGTTTCATTAGTAATTTATCAGAGCTTAGATATTCAGCTAATAGGCTGTAATTTGTATGTTCTTCAGATATAAAACACTTTATTATCATAGCTCAATAAATTGAAGATTATTTTACAAATGTAACTATGAGTCTTCCTGAACTTTTTATTCAGATGTCTCCAAAATAGAGATATTCAGTATTTACCTCGATTAAATAATTTAATTATATATTGAAATTAGGAAGGAAGTTTAATATATTAATAACTTCGTTATAACTATACTTTTCTGCTATTAGTCATTTTTAGGAGAGTTGGACAGTTTTAGAGATAGATCATTTAGTCTTAACTCTTTGACTTTACTAGTGGCAGAATTGAAGGTTTATTTTCTGTAATGTCTCAGAGTTTAAATTATTCTATGAAAGTGTTCAGATGATCTCATTTGATTCAATTTTACATATCATATAGTAAGTTTTCAATACTTACTGTTTTGAGTAAATACATGTCTAATCAAGGCTTGTTCCTGTCAAATGTTATTTAGACTAAGCTTTATAAATAACAGTGGAAAGTTGGAGAGAGAGAGATAAATATTATAAATAATTTAGAAAGCATCTGAGTTGAAAATTAAGGAATAATGTGTGTGGTGAAATGTCTAAAATATATGAGCATACTGCTTCTACATATGAATTTTTTAAACCATTAATAAGTTTCACACCCTTTTTATAAAGGAAATTTAAACTTCTGTTTAATTAAGTCACTGAAGACCAGTCATAACAGAGGTAGAACCTGCATCTTCTAAAGAAGTATTTTAACATTATTTGTATGTATCAACAAGTTGCAGTTTTGCCATAGAGATTCTGTCATGTGGTTGCAGTTAGCATTGCTGGGATAATAACAGGTGGCTATGTAGGAGGGAGGAAACCTGCCCTAAGAATAGCGGAATAGATTTTGTGTATCCTTGCTCTCTGGCAATAAGCAAATAAAAATAATAATTCTGTTGATGTTTGACATCTGCCACATCACATGCTTATTTAAATTAGAGCCCATTATTCTTAACAAATACCTACCTTTGTTTCCACTCTTGTGTTTTTTTGTAGTACCACTGGACTTGTACCATGTTCAGCAACACCAACAACTTTTGGAGACCTGCGAGCAGCCAATGGCCAAGGGCAACAACGACGTCGAATTACATCTGTCCAACCACCTACAGGCCTTCAGGAATGGCTGAAAATGTTTCAGGTGACATGTCTAAACACAGTATTTGAAATGCTTCACTTAATTGCTGCAAAAAATAAGGGATTATTCAGCCATGAGAAGGAACTGTTACATGCTACACCATGGATGAATCTTAAAAACATTATGTTAAGTGAAAGAAGCCAGTCGCAAAAATGACATGAAATATCCAGAACAGGCAAATATATAGAGACAGAAGATAGATTAGTGATTGCTATGTGATTGGTGAGGGGATGTTGGGGCTAGCTGCTGACAGGTATGGGATTTCTTTCTGGGGTGATGGAAGTGTTCTGGAGTGGACAGAGGTGATGGTTGTACAGCAAGACAGGTGTTCTGGAAACCATTCAGGTGAACATTTTAAATGGTGAATTGGACCTTGTGTGAAGTATATGTCAATAAAAAAAGCTGTTGAAGATAAGGGAGCTCATCTTAATTTTTAAACGCATTAATCAAGAGAATCCAGTGCTTATTTTGTATAAGTGTGTATTTGTTTTGTTGTTGCTTTTTAGATAGTAAGACCTTTCTTCCTTTTCTCTTTTATGTTGGGGTTTCTGAATGTACTTGTTTTCCAAAATTTCTTGCTTAGAAGTTAAGCATTTAGGAGTAATGCAGGAACTCCTCTAATTAGTCACTTGTGGTGATTTAGCCATCACTGTTACCCCAGTAGCCTCCAAGACTTTGATACAGCTTCTCTTCATCAGTGCCATGCTGGTGTATGGCTTGTTGTGTTCATATGCTGATTACTGTATTTTACTGGCATTTAAATTCTTTGAAAGTTTACCAGGAAGATTGGCTACAACCAAACCTCTGTTCAGAATTTTGTAAATCCTGGTAGTGATGTTAAATAGATTTATCTCTTCTTCCAGTGAGACAATGCATATATATTAAGCATTTAGCAAAATAGTTGACCTAGATTAAACACTTAATTATTCTTTGTAAATATCAAATAATATAAGTTATGTGAAGTCACGGTATCTCTGATATTATCCATGACATTAATGTAAAATGAATATATTTCCTTACCTCTAGCTGCTTGATTGGTAGTATTTTATGAATGCATATGGGAATAAGAATGAATAAGGGAAAAAGAAGATACTTTATTTGACTTTATTTGATATTTCAGATTTTTACAATATCCATTATGTAAATCCTTATAAATTAAATTCCTGGGCAAAAACTAAATAAATGTCCCAGTTTTATTCTTCTGTAGCTGGAAAATTCACTTGAATCAGTGTTGTTTTTAAATGGATTTTAAAAATTGTTTTCTACCCTTCAGGTGATTTCAGAGAAACTAGGGGTAACCTTTTTTTTTTTTTTTCAGTTGGTGACTGTAAGGTTAGAGCAGTGGTTCTTGACAGGGGGCAGGTTTTTCCCTCAGATGAAACAGTTTTGGTTGTTGCAACTGATGGGGTGGAGGGCAGGATGCCGCTGGCATCTGGTGAGTAGTGGCCACGTAAAGCACAGCCTCCTACAGCCAGTGTTATCGGGCCCCAAATGTCACCAGTGCTGGGACTGAGGATGAAAGTTGTGTGTCACTCTCATGATAATGTTATAAGCCACTACAATCACAAAGAATTTTTTTTCTGTCTTCATAGTCCTGTGTTGATTAACCTTACCTTTCCCCAAGGATTAGTACCCCCCTTCCCTTCTCCCAGTTCTTTTACCTTAGGTTCCTGATTTTTTTTTTAATTTTAATTAATTTTTTCCTATGCATGAAAAAAAAAATTTTTTTATCATAGCCTTTCGATACGAAATGTATCCGATCAATAAGAGGTAAAAAGAAGAGTCAGACATTCATACAGTCACAAAGAAATACTTCAAAGATTTTTATCATCTCTGATTAAGCCAAGGAGATGGGAATATGGCTGTGTGTTGTCAAGCACACGCACACAGTGTGAGCGGCAGAGCGCTTGAGAATAACGCAGAAGAATTACTTAATATCATTTTTATAAGAAAGCATCAACATGATTGAAATTTTACACTATTGGTAATAGTTTTCTCATCATTGTGGACAGCGTGCAAAATATTTATTTTATATGAAAAGCTTTATTTCTTATCACAAGGATGTCAAGTGATTTATTTTGTATGTGACATGGGCCTATTTTTTCCGGTGTTTTAGAGTACCAAAATATTCTTTGCTAGACATTTAGACTTTTCCCAATTTTAAGAGAACTCTCTCAAATATTGATTTATAGAAGGGAGGGAGTATTTGCTTTATTTTGCAGTGAGGATGTTTTTGGGAGTTCTTTGTAGAATGTTTACTTGTTCAGCTCATTCATGCTTTTCTTAATAAAATGTCCACGTTACCACATATTGTATGTCACCAAGTCTGAGATGCCTAATATCTAGGTTATTAGATGCATCCCATCTTCAGAAATCTTATTTGTAAAAAAAAAAAAACAAACAAAAAGTTTCTTACAATAAATGGGATTCAATAAATTAAAGAATATTAGGCTAGCCTTTGTTCTGTAAAAAAGCCCATTTGATTGCTTTTCGTATGAGAAGTAGATGCAGTGAAGACAACTTGTTCTTAGCTAATAGGAATAACAGGTAGAATTATCCCTCCAGGTATAGTGTTTTTTTCAGATAAATATTCTGCAACAAAGAAATCTTTTAGCAACAAAAAGTCAACTAAACAGGTGTATCAGGACCTTAATCTTTTGAGTACCATATCTGTCTCTTACACACCCAGGTCCTCATTGTTGTGCATTGCCCTTTATTTTCAGGGCTGGTGCCAAAGTAACTAGAGATGAATCACTTGCCTAAAAGCTTATAGGGCTTTCATGGCCAACTTGTAGAGAGATATAATTTTCATAGTAAAGTAGGGGAGTCGTGAGTTGACCCTGTGTGCTATAGTGGAGGGATAATTAGACTGGCATGATTTCTACAAATGAGCTGTGGGGGTATTTAATGATGACTTTTCCGTTGCATAACAAGCAAAATGGGAGAGCTCATCCCCTTACTGTTCTGCTATTGCTCCTAAGGCAGTGATACAGCATTGTTTTGGTCCAGCTCCATCTATTCCGACAAAGTACTCTGTACTCAATTTATAAATGGAATGAGAACAAATGATATACCATTTTGGATAAAGGGAAATTGAAACAAAATGGCATTGCAGAATTGAAGTGGAAATTCAAAACAAAACAAAAAACCAGAAATTTTGTACTGTGTAAATTTTTAGTAGCCATTGGTTCTACTTTTTTTGGCAGCCAGATTGATGCTTCAGGTTGTGAATTTGGGGGCAGAGGATTGGTCATTTTGTTTGTGCATTTGGGTGTTACATATAGGTTTTTTTACTTGAAAATTCTAGAGCAAGTAAAGGCATCCATAACATTATTATGATCTTATGTTGAAATTTATATTTAGAGGCATCCTGATATAAATGAGAAGCACATATGACTTAGAAGAAAAAGATCTTAGTACAAATTTTGGCTTTGCCCCTTAATACTAGGTAATTTTATTGGTATTACATAACCACTCTTGCCTATTTTCATCCTCTGTAAGACAGATACAACACTAAAAAGTTGTCAAACAGGAGACAACATGTAAATGTGCTTAAAGCTTTATGTGGAAATAATAGTGGAGACTCAATGTTCGTTTCTTCTCTTGGTCAAGAAATAGCCTTTGTGAACCTCCGTTTTCTCAGGTCTAAAAAAGGGCTATTAAAAACAGCTTCATACAAATGTTATTAGCATTATTTTAATAAAAAATTTGCATTGCATTAAAATAATGAATGTACTTTGAAAATACTAATACTCAAATATTTTTTTAAATGATAAAGTAGAAAATACTTATGGGTTTTGACATTAAAAGTGGAGTAAAGGGGCGCCTGGGTGGCGCAGTCGGTTAAGCGTCCGACTTCAGCCAGGTCACGATCTCGCGGTCCGTGAGTTCCAGCCCCGCGTCGGGCTCTGGGCTGATGGCTTGGAGCCTGGAGCCTGTTTCCGATTCTGTGTCTCCCTCTCTCTCTGCCCCTCCCCCGTTCATGCTCTGTCTCTCTCTGTCCCAAAAATAAATAAACGCTGAAAAAAAAAATTAAATAAATAAATAAATAAATAAAAGTGGAGTAAAAACACTCTCTTGAAGGATTTAATTAAGTACCACGGTAACACTTAGAAATTGTACATGTTCTCTGTTTTATTTAGATCTTTTTTATTTGCTAGTCAACAAAATACCAAAACAGGATTATGCCAAAATAAAATGAATTCAGTGTTACTTTGCAATTGTATTTGAGGCAGTATGATTAAGAAACCTTGTGTGAAGAAGAAAGTGTGTGTTTAAGAAAGTCATGAGAAATCGGTTCTTTACCACATGAAATTCAGGCGTGGTACTACCAAAAGTCATAATGTGTACATATCTGAATGGGGTATAGAGATCATCCAGACTAGTAACCAACACTGTTTGTGAGTCACTTGCATCAAAACTGGATGAGTTGTTTATTTAAAACACAAAATGTCCTCAGCCCCACCTTGACTACTGAATCATACTCTTTGATGATGAGTTCTAGGACTCTGATTCTTACACTACTCAACCAGCATTTGGGAAACACTGGTCTGGACCAAGCCCCTCATTATACAGGTGGGGTCTCTGAGATTAATTAAGGGACTTTCATATGGTTCCATGGTGAGTTTACTGGTGAAACCCCAGCCCCTAATTGCAGTTCAGTGCTTCTTATATTCTTCACTACTACCTTCATTCTCTAATTATCTGAAATAAAATACTCCTTTCGTGGGGAATTTTCAAGTTTGCATTTGCAATTTTGCCCACAAATTAAGTTTTGTTTCTTTTGATCCTCGCCAAATTTGGAATGTTTTTCGTATCTCCTTAAATAAGTTCTCACATAACTTTACCATGAAAGACCAAAGGAAGATGCTTTCATCCAGGACAACTATTTTTTAGAACAGAAATAAAATAATTATCAGAATTATCCAGCAATTTTGCAGATGCAGAAATAAGGCCTGCAGAGGTTAAAGTGTAATCTAATTAGTGTCAGTATCACCTCTAAAAGTTGGGTTTCCTGATCTGAAATTGACTGCTGTTTCCACTATTCCTCATTAAAGGAATGAGGGTTGTTGTTATTTTGTTTTAATATAGTCATTAACTGCTAGTTTTTCAAGTTAATACATACTTCCCTTGCTGGTAAACCATGTATGCAAAAATTTGGAATCAGTCTTGGAGCCAAACTAAACAAGTAAGTCCTAGTAATACCATCAAATATAAATACCAGAAACACTCTCTGGAGAGAATTTTGAGTTAGTGGTGGTGTGGTATTTCCTGACTCTTTGGGGATTCATTTATTTATTCAACAAATAATTACTGGTGCTAGGTTCTACTTTGGATTTGGAATACAATAGTGAACAAAACAGACCAAAAACTCTTTTCCACAGAACTTACATTATAGGAGAGGGATGGAATGGGGGCGGGGGGTTGGAACTGGTTTGCAGTTTTAAAAAGGTTGCCTGGAATTGGTCTCGGAAGGACATAGGGAAGAAGCCATGTGGATATCAAGGGCAAGAATGTTCCAGGAACAGCAAGTGAAAAGGCTCTGAAGCGGAGCATGCTTCGTTTGTCTATGGCTAAAGCGACTAAACAAGAGGGAAAGGAGTAGGAAATAGAATCTTGTAGGCCAACCCAGACTGGTTTTTACTTTTAATTTTTTTTGAAAAATGTTTTTAATGTTTATTTTTGAAAGAGAGAGAAACAGACAGAGCACGAGTGGGATAGGGGCAGAGAGAGAGGGAGACACAGAATCTGAAGCAGGCTCCAGGCTCTGAGCTGTCATCACAGATCCCAACCTGGGGCTCAAACTCATGAGCCATGAGGTCACGGCCTGAGCCGAAGTTGGACACTTAACTGACTGAGCTACCCAGGTGCCCCTGGTTTTTACTTTGAAGTCGGAAGCCACTAGAGGGTTTTAAGCAGAAGAGTGAGTGATTTTTAGCAGTTATCACTGACTGTTTTGTGAAGAATAGAACAAGGAAGCTTGTGGAAAGAAATAATCCACGTGAGCGATAATATAGTAGCTAGGCCAATGTAGTTAACAGTCAGATTCTGGATATATTTTGAAGTTTAAGGCCTTAAAATTCATTGATGGATCAGAACCATCTAACAGTGGTGAGAATGAGAGAGTTAGGGATGACTCCAGAGTTTTTGGCTTGAGCAACTAAGAGAATAAGAGTTACAGTTTACTGAAATAGGATTATGGACATGCATATTTGAAGAGAAAGATCATGGATGTTAAGTTTTTATTGCATATCTAAGAATACATGTTGAATGGGCAATTTTATATACCAATCTGGAAGAAATCCAGGCTGGGGAGAGGAAAGCTTTCTATATGGTTCATACCTTTGTCGAAACCATCTAAGGAAAGTGACTTTAAGTAATTAGACTATTGAATATGTGTGATAGGTGGAAACAGTCTCATTTACTACCTAGCTTGCAGCCTGTGTTGCTAATCCTTGTCAGTGGTATACTTTTAAATAAAGGGTCACAAAGTAACATCTGTTGAATGTATGTATAATTTAAACACAGATATGCATTTAATTTTATTTGACTTGTTAAATATTGCTTAAAACAAAAACATTGTTTAAAATCTTAGAAATATTTTCCTATGCAAGCATAATTTTTGTCATGGACTTTGCTTAAATATATAGAAATTTCTGACGTAGCTTTTAGTATTTACTTAAAATCTGAATTAGTTGTTTATTTTTTATTCTGGCTTTTCACATTCTACACCCGATCCCCTAAAATCCTTGATAAAATATGTTTTCCATCTATTAGCAGTAATATATCATGTATTAATAATGTTTTTCTACCCTTTTCTTTCTTAAGAAAACTGTAATAATTCATTAACTGAAAAAAAGACATTAAACAAGTATATTGCCTTAAAGTAGAAATATTCATAGTAGCTATTCATGTCATTAATCTATGTAAGGTACATAGAGTAGTAATGTGTTGTAAGGTTTTTCACCCTATTACTGTAGAAGATTACATAGGATACCTTTATTTTTATATCAAAATTTAACCATAAAAACTTCCAAAAAGTGTTTCTAAGGCAAACAGTCATATATGCAAAGTGTTTAAAAAGTTTTCAATAATTAAATTAAATTTAATTAAGTAATTAAGATTATTGTGCTATCAGGTTACTTAAAGCTGCATTTTAATCAAGTCAGCATAAGTTATCCATTACCCAAATTGGATATATCCTCATACTTGTGTCCATGAATGGAGGGGAACAACATATTTATGAAAACTCACCTTCAATTCTATGAGGAATCTATATCAATAAATTAGAGTTTATAGTATTGATAGTAAATGATCAGAGATGAGGGGAGATGATCAGTGTAAGTTTTGTTAAAGAGGTAAATTTTGAACTAGGATTTGAAGCTGTGTGAGAAACAAAACAGTCGAACTTCAAAAGTAACTGCTTTTCATTGCTCATGAGTACGCAAATACATATATTTGAGTAGTTTTTATTTCTGTGCATAAGTCCTCACCCTAATTAAAAAGGGTCCAAAGTGGGTTCTCAACGAGAATCTTCTAGGTATGCAGGTATATAGAAGTAAAAGAAAAGAATACGATTTATTAGAGTCTATGTTTCCTCATATTTGGTGGTAAAATGGGAATGTTTCCCAGAGTTTTTATGATTAAGTAAGATAATGTTTGTGATAAGTGCTTTGGAAATACTATTGAAATGTTTGATAGTATTAACATAATCTACACCTTATAATAGGAGTTTCATCTACAATGAAATTCATTGTAGATTCTAAAGGGACAAAAAAAATTTAAACTACAGTACTTTAAAAAGTATTCTAAATAAGGCTTCCTGTGTCCTGAGTATATCTCAGTTTTCAATTATTATCCATTTCATATATTACAAAATCCAGGTTCCTAGTTTGAGCAAGAAATGGAATGTCAGATTGGACATAATAATTCACAAAGGTACTTAAATCAGCCTGGTCAAGGATGTTCTTTCACTTAAGCATCACAAAGTTATTTACATGTTTTACATGATTATTTTGAGGGGAAATTCTAACACTCTAAATTATTCACATGGCTTTTTAATGTTTCCTTTTAAGAATCATGGCTTTTCTGTGCAGATGTTCCTCACTGGCAAAAAAAAATTTTTTTAATAATCCCCTAGTATAAAGTAGTTTCTGTTTTTTAAAGTATAATAATGTGTTTTTGTCTTTCCCATAAGTAGTACTTTGTTTCTGACCCTTTTGTTCACATTCTAGTATCATTACTAAGTCAGTTACTGTTTTATGTTTTTGCTGCTTTTTATTTCAAATTATTTTCACATAATAAATCAAAGTTCTTTTATTTTGTGGAAGACACTTGTCAGATTTGCAGTATATCCAGCTATTAATTTTTCTCTAAATCATGCTGCCAATCTCCTCTGAGATGGGTTCCTTATTAACACTATCAAATTTTATGGTGCCCACTGGAAAGAATATAAAACACCTTGTTTACTTAGTAGCCCAAGTTGATGTTTCCGGATAAAACTCTGATTTCTTATCTTGATAGTAGATGAACATATAATATTTATAATAATATGGTACAAAAATATTTGTCAAAATCATGACTTTTTCTTAAGCTTTTATAAAATAAAGGTACCTAGTGAATTTGATGAGAATAATTGATTATCACTTCAGTGACTCCTGGAGAAACTTTCACTGTAAGCAGCCACTTTTTATGTTATGTGTAAACGTGGATTTTCCTTTATGAGTTTATAGCTTGAGACATCTATTAAAATAATAAAAATTTCTACTTCCTTTTTGATAGAGCTGGAGTGGACCAGAGAAATTGCTTGCTTTAGATGAACTTATTGATAGTTGTGAACCAACACAAGTAAAACATATGATGCAAGTGATAGAACCCCAGTTTCAACGAGACTTCATTTCCTTGCTCCCTAAAGAGGTAAGGATTATCAATTGTATTCTTCTGGGTGCTATTTGATAATATAACTCCATAGCGACCACCTTTAAACATGGTCATGCTAATTATGGTATTCAGTATTGTCGGTTTAACGCTCTTAATTAGTGTTAAAGAGAGATGTAAATGATAAGCTGCCATGACTTAATAGTATCATTTCCAGATTCAAGTATATTTATGGACTAAGTGACTTCTTTCCACCCCTGCAGTAAGTCATAGGAGAGAGAGTAAACTATTGAGTTTCATTAATTTGATTATTCCTTTATCACAGTTTTTTCCCAGGTTATTTGAAGCCCAACCTTTAGTTGTCTTGGTACATTTATTATATATAGTAGCAGATTTTTTTAGAAATTCTGATTTTAGTAAAACAGATTTTTGTTGTTTGTTTCTCCAAAATCCCTCTGAGACTAATAGTTTTATGATTTTGTTGAATGATAGTTCTCTGTTAACTCACATTATGTAATTTTTTTTTTAATATGTGGAATCTCACATGTGTATCTTTTTCTACTAATCATCCTTCGTCTTTCCCCCATCTCTCTCACTCTCTCTCTCCCATGCACGCGCGCACGTGCACACACACACACACACACACACACACACACACACACACACTCACAGATTTCCTGCATCGATTACATCCTTGTGGCATTTCTTTTGGAATTACTTATGCCTAGTTTTTATATCTTTATGTGAACTGACACTGTTTTTTTATCATAGATTGATTTTGATCACATGGGCATTCTTGGCTGCATAAATGAGGCATAGCTTAGATGTTGTTCTTTTATTGATGTTATAGGCTTCACAGTTTCATTTCTGTCAGCAAATAATATGACATTAAATAATCAATGTCACGTGGTTTATATTTTCACAAATTATTTATGTGCCACTAATTATATGTCAGCTAAGAAAACAATATATAAGACACTAATATACTACTGCAAATGATCTTAAAACTTCTAATATGAAGAGAAAGAGAGTCAGTTTTTTTGGATAACCATTCTAAACATCCTAAGGGCATTAAACATAGTCTCAATAATTTCACATTGGATATGAATAAAATAGTTTTATCATATTTAATGTATGAAACTAAGCATTACTCTAAGAGAAAGCAAAGTGGAAATAATATCTTTTTCCTGAAATGTTTCTTCTTTGGAATGATTTTTTTTTAATGGCAAAAAAAAAAAAAAAGTAGCATTGTCCCAGAAAAAATTTTTTATTCTTGCTGGCTCATGCTAAACCTGAACCTTTTGAATAGAATTGGCTTATGAAATGACATAAGCTCTCTTTGCTTCCAGAAGGACATTCATAATAGGTAGCACTTTTATAAGTATTTGACTGAAAGTAAAGTTAGTCCCTCTAATATTTTCTTCATGGTTTCCCTAGATATCCTCCTTATTTTAGAAGGTAGTATTTTTGTTAAAATACAGACTTTCTCTTAGTCTAGTTTGTCCTCTTATCTCTAAAAATGGTGAATATTTTGTTTTGCTTTATTTGTATTTCCATAATAACTTTTGAACACAAAAAATATTTAAAATCCAAAGACTATGAAAATATTTTTAAGAGTCTAAGAATTAAGCACAAATTATTGATAACCAGCGTAAATGCAATAAAGATTTTTTTGGATTAAATGTTCTTTTCAAGATTGCCTGAGGAAAAAGTAGAGAGGCTAGAGAAAAGAACAAGAGTGAGCTCTGGCTTAGCAGATCTTCTGCATTTTCCCTCTTTTTCAACTACTAGGAAACATTTCATATTTTGAAAAAATGCTTTATTTTATATTTGGAGAAAGAATGGTATAGACCTAAGTCCTTAAGGAAACTATTATCTTATTGGAGACTAAGTGCTATTATTATTTAAAACATCACTACTTTCATGGCAGGAAATGGACTTGTAATGATTTTCTTATAATTCCTTTCAACAGATCTCAAAGCTCTTTACCAACACTTACTTTTTTTTTTTTTTTAATGTTTATTTTTGAGAGAGAGAGAGAAAGAGACAGAGTGTGAGCCGGGGAGGGGCAGAGAAAGAGGGAGACACAGAATCCGAAGCAGGTTCCAGGCTCCGAGCTGTCAGCAGCACAGAGCCTGATGTGGGACTCGAACTCACAAACCATGAGATCATGAACTGAGCCGAAGTCAGACACTTAACCGATTGAGCCACCCAGGCGCCCCATCAATACTTACTTTTTAAGCTCAAAAACCTTGATAAAAACGTCACTAGTCTCATGTGGGAGGCTTGTGATATACTGCATTATCCTTATTTTTGTAAATAAATGCCAAGAAAAGCATAGTGATGCAGTAGATGACCTAGAACAAAACCTAAATTCTTCAATTTTTTAAAAATTTATTTGCTATTTATTTGGAGAGAGAGAGCAAGCAAGCAGGAAAGGGGCAGAGAGAGGGAAGGAGAGAAAGAGAATCCCAAGCAGACTGTCACACAGAGCTCCATGCGGGGTTCAAATTCATGAACCGTGAGATCATGAGCCAAAATCAAGAGTTGATGCTTAACCAACTGAGCCACTCAGGTACCCCCCAAACCTGAACTCTTAACATAGGATCAGCCAACAATTTCTTTATTCTTTTTTTAACCCCCTGTTTCACTAGTTCAATCCAGGGAAATACAGCAATTTTCTGGGAAAGTATTAGTTCCCTCTCACGTATAATATGGTGGTCTCTTACATAGGTTAAAGAGAAAAACAAAAAATAGCAACTCTCACTGAAATGACAAGTTTGGTCAAGGAAAAGGTTATCTAAAATAGATGTTCAATTTAAGAGCTTCTGTCTGTTGAGCCTTAGGAGGAATTACTAATCCAGATTTTACCTTTACGAGAAATGAAAAGAGGGGTGTCTGAATGGCTCAATCAGTTAAGTATCCAACTCTTAATCTTGGCTCAGGTTATGATCTCATGGTTTGTGAGTTCGAGCCCCATGTCGGGCTCTACACTGACAGTGCAGAGCTTGCTTGGGATTCTTTCTCTCTGTGCCCCGCCCCCCGCCTCCCTCTCTCTCAAAATAAGCATAAAAAAAAAAAAGACAAATGAATAGAAAATTGGATTAGCCAGACCATTTTACTTGGCCACAACAAACCTATACTCCCCTGCTATGGTATTATAGAGATGTTGTTCAGGACAATGCCCACTTTCTGCCTCCTGCAAGGAGCCCCACATGACTAAACCTTGCTTCCTTTGAGGAATTGTTATACTTCCCCCATAATATACGTTAAGAATTGTATAACTAATTGTTGTTCCTTTTGTGCTTGGCAGTTTAATTAAAAAACCATGTAAGATATTGTTGCCAGTGCATTTGTGTTCTACTTTTTCCCTGATTTAAACTTAACTTCTTTTATGATTTATATTTTTACTGGTTCTGATTTTCTTTTTCATATTTTTTATTTTCCTATGTGTATTTTCTACAATACTTAGATGTTTTTAATAGAACGACTAGATTTAAATAGAATAAGTTGAAATTCATGGTTGAGTTAGGGCCTCTGTTGTTTTAAAGGAAAAATGTACCAGTTACCTGTGGAGTTAGCACTTCAACTTTCGTTAGCACCTAAGTGTTTCTTTACTCTTTAATGCATTTCTCTTTAATGCATGCAGACACTGGACTAGGTGAGCTCATAATCACCAGTAATGAAGGAAATGATAGATGATTTAGGATGTACCTTTGAAATCTAAGGTGCTCTGGATACATTTTCTAGCCTTTAAGATCCATTGCCTGTTTCTGTAAATTACCTGATTTCTACTTCAGCTGGATAACTAAAACAAAGAATAGACTTTTTCAGATGACCATTTTAAATATGTTGGGCATTAAATAGCATCTCTTTTTCACAAATATAACTTTGTGCCTTTTAATTTCTATATTAAATATGAATTTCACATAGAAGAAAAATATGGTGTTATCATTACTGTTATACTGGCACTAAACAACTTGCCCAGGCTTAATTTCAAAATTAAGTGACTTATAGAGTATCCATTAGAAAAGTATAATGTTGATACCTATATCTGTCTATATCTGTGTCTATGTTTGTGTATTTGTATATGTGTATGTATGTATATATACACATATATGTAGATTGTTGGATATAGTTATGCCTTTTTGTTTAAAATTACTCAGTTTCTAAATATGATCCTGAATAGGCTTCTCCGATAGACCAAAAATAATTATTCCACAAAAAGGTTTTTTCTGTCATTTATCAGTAACAGTATTAAATTGAATACTGACTGGCTGGAGTACTTTCTATATGAAGTGTACTCAATAAATATGTGATTAATGATGAGCTCTCTCTATATAATGTTCTTGGGTAAGCATAATTTATATCATGTAATTACTGGTTAGCATCAGAAAATAATTCAAATTGTGCTTTTACTCCCTGTATGGCCTTTGGCCCTTTAAATGATAGTTTGTTTTAATTCTTGTAATTTAATTTCTGTGAACACTAAACTTTATTGCTTTGTTTAGATCATTTGGGTTCTAATATCATAATTTAAATTTTTATGTGATTAGTGAGGCTAATTGGATAAGCATACTCACAAGTTACCATCCCCCTCTTTTTTCTTTCTTCTTCCCTTATTTACTTGAATTGACTATACATGCTTTAAAAAAAATGATGGTTTGCAACCCTTGGAAACAAAATTTTAAAATCAGTGATATACCAAAGAGCTGGTACAAATATACAAATATATCTGGCCCATCAAGAAAATCCCCACCAGCAATGTAAAGTAATTAGAACCTAATTGCTTTTATATGTCTGTGGAGCAGTTTAGTAATTGTACCCTCTTGTCATTTACATTGAAGGGTATAAATGTTTGAGAAGTTCATCATTGTGATAATAGACACTTTGATGTGATAAAGAACTATTAATCTTATCTATCAGAAGTGATCTGAAATCCTACCACACAGAATATCTAGATATCTCATTTCTTTTTTTTAATGTTCATTTGTTTTTTAGAGAGAGAGAAAGTGCAAGCGGGGGAGGGTTGGGGAGGGATGTGGAACAGAGGATCTGAAGTGGGCTCTGTGCTGACAGCTTCAGGGCTGACAGCAGTGAGCCCAATGCGGGGCTCGAACTCACAAACCACAAGATCATGACCTGAGCTGAAGTTGGATATTCAATAGAGTGAGCCACTCAAGCGCCCCTGAAATCTCATTCCTTAATTTATGTCATAACTTCAGTGAATTTACATGGTAGTGGGGAGAGAAAAGTACAACATCTAAATGACTAATAAAGTGTACATACACATACATACGTACATAAATGGTAGAATTCTTGACTTGAGGCTCACAGAGCAAAATAGCAGAGGCAGAGAAGCTTAAGTATTCTTTGCAGAGGTGACGTTAGTCAAGTGAAGTTCATAAAAACCAATAGAGCGAGTTTTTTAAGCTTGGTATATATTTAAGATTAACTATTAGAAAGTCAATTTCAAAAATTAGAATGTAGAATTACATTGTGTTTATCTAAAAGTGCTTCATTCTATAGTAAATAATTAACTTATTATTTTTGTATGTGTATTTTTAAATATGGACATACTGTGCTTTTGCTTTTCATAGCTGGCACTTTATGTGCTTTCATTCCTGGAACCCAAAGACCTGCTACAAGCGGCTCAGACTTGTCGCTACTGGAGAATTTTGGCTGAAGACAACCTTCTCTGGAGAGAGAAATGCAAAGAAGAGGGTAAGGTTCAAAATCACAAAGAGAAAATCTTTAGACTCTGAAAAAGCAAAGTGACTCTGAAAACAAATAGCAAAAAGTAAAAATTAGAAGTTTTATATGTGCACATAGAATTGAAAAAAGAGAACTTTGGCCGCTTATCAAAGAATGAAAAATTAGTCTTCATTGACATTCACCTACTTATATAAAATCCACAGGTTACCCCACACATTCAAATGAGCTAGATCTCGCAGCTAACCCCTTTAATGAGCGATAGTAACGAATAGCAAATGTATCTGATTTGCTTCCCAGTCTGAAAAGATCGGATGAGGATGATTTAAAGGAAACCTAAAAAAAAAAAAGAAACCAAAGCAAAACACAGACCCATGTATACAGAGAGCAGATTGTTAATTGCCAGAGGAGAGGGGAATTGGGGAGGCGGGTAAAATAGGTAAAGGGGATTAAGAACTATAAGCTTCTAGTTGTAAAATAAATAAGTCATGGGGATGTAATGTAAGCATGGGCAATAGAGTCAATAATATTGTAGTAACTTTGTAAGTTCACAGAGGATAGCTAGATTTATTGTCATGACAATTTTGCAGCATATGTAAATATCAAATCACTGTGCTGTATACCTGATACTAATATTGTATGTCAGCTACACCTCAGTTTAAAGGAAGGACAAACCGAAGACCTAAATAGGAATTTTTGTTTAAAATAAGATGGCGATTAATTTCTACCAGCAGTTTCATGGATGAGAAAGGTGTCTGTCTTTCCAATACTCACAATTAAAGATCAAGTTATAATTGCAACTGTCCTTGGGAGAGAAACTCACTGGAATTCACACTAATAAATGACTACTCAGTCATATAATGAAGGAAGGAAGAAAGGAAACCCCAAAATTATATTAACAGTATTCAAATATTCCATATTCTATTCTTTCACAAACATTTATTGAACACCTCCTATGAGCTGGAGATTCTTAAATGTTGGGGATATAGTACTGAGCTCCCATTTTCTTCCCATCATGGAGCTTATGTTCTTGAAAATTGTAAAAAAATAAACAGAACAAAGAAAAAGAAAAAATCTCCTTTCTTAGTAGAGGAGAAGGTATTATCTATATTAGATAACAAAAGGACATTTTTTTTCCAGCAGGCATCTAAAAAAATTATATTTTTGAAAAAAAATGTAAAAATATGATTTGCCTCTGAGAAGCAAAAATTTTTGGAAAGAAAGGTAGAGCATGAGACAGATACTCTACAGGTTACCCTCTCCTTCATGGAGATCATAGTTGATGAGGGGCACTGATGGTTAATAAAGCTGGAAGGTGAAGATCCAGGATACTTGGTTTCTGTCCTGCTTTTGCCCTGTCTGTAGCTTTGACCAGTGAAACCTTCTCTTCTCAAGTGTCTATATACATAAAGTGGGATTAATCACCCCTGCCTTACCTTCTCTCATAGAATCATTATTTTAATGACTTTTTAAAAAACTGTGGTAACATATACCTAAGATAGAACTTATTCTAACCATTTTAAAAATTACAGTTCAGTGGCATGAAATACATTCATGTTTTGTACAATTCATCTTTAGAACTTTTTCATCTTTCCCAGCTGAGAGTTGATATCCATTTAACAGGAACTCGTTCCTCCTCCCTGCAGCCCCTGGCATCCATCATTCTGTTTTCTGTCTATGAGTTTGACTACTACTGTATGTGCCTCATATAAGTGGAATCATACGGTATTTGCTTTTTTGTGACTGACTTGTTTCATTTTGCATACTGTCTTCAAGGCTTAACTGTGTGGTAGCATGTGTCAGAATTCTCTTCTTTATCAAGGCTGAATAAATATTCCACTGTATATATCCCACATTTTGTTTCTTTATTCATCCATCGATGGACACTTGGGATACTTCCACCTTTCAGCTATTTTGAATAATGCAGCTATGAACGTGGGTGTACAAGTATCTGTTCAAGTTTCTGCTTTCAATTCTCTTGGGTGTATATCCAGAATTGGAATTGCTGGATTATATGGTAATTCTGTGTTTAATTTTTTTGATGAACCAGCATACTCTTTTCCATAGCAGCTAATATACCATTCTATATTCTCACAAACATTGCATAAGGGCTCACATTTCTGTACATCCTGACATCCAACGTTTCATAGAATTATTTAGAGAAAGAAATGAAAAAGTCAATATGAAAACATGCCACAGAGAATGCAAACTTTACATTATCGTTTTATAATACAGTATTAGAAATTGGACAGTGTCCTGTATTTCAGTGGTTTTGAGCATAAGGGAAAATGAGATACATTATAAAATGGGTAATTTTTATTATTGGTGATGGCAGTTATACTCTTTATCTCTTTAAAACTTTAGGTATTGATGAACCATTGCACATCAAGAGAAGAAAAGTAATAAAACCAGGTTTCATACATAGTCCATGGAAAAGTGCATATATCAGACAGCACAGAATTGATACTAACTGGAGGCGAGGAGAACTCAAATCTCCTAAGGTAACTGAACTCTTGCACAGTATAACAGAAAGCACTGATCAGTGTTGGTACCTGATACACTCTTCTTGGCCAGCAGTATAACTTGACACCTATCTCCTGTGGAAAGAAAATAATATATTTTAAAATAACCGAAAATGTAACTGACAGCATTGCTCTGTTGCTAATTTCTCCAGTCTGACAACTAATTGTACTTGAATAAAAGATGAGTTGAATTGCATGTCATTCTATCTTATGTAAGTGACGATTTCTGAGTATCCTGTTGAATTTTGTGTCGTATGCTTGAGATTTTGCTTGCTCTCTGACCACGTAGTTAGAACGTGATTCTTTGAGCAGTGCCCATGTTTTGTGTTTTTGGTGGCTTTTCTGAGTTTTATTTCTCTAAATTTAAGTATAATACTGATTTTCTGTCTTATCCTAAATATATAAAGAGTGACAAAAATGCTTATATTATACAACCGGAAAAAAGCAATTAGAGATACCGTTACATTAATATGTATACATTATAACAGGCTTTTTTTTGTTTTAAGTTGAAAAAAGTTGATAATTATTGTTACTTTTGTCTTTCTCGTTTGTAGGTACTTTTGTTTTTGTGTGTGAAAATTGCAAACCATAGATGCATAGTTTTTGGTTTGAATAGATAAAGAGATGATTATAAAATACATTTGTGTTTGAACCATCTTTATGAGTTTTTAACTCATAAAAGTCTTGACTCAATTTTAATAGTTGATATCTCAAGTATAAAAATCATAGAATATGGAAAACAAAATGTTTAGTACTTGATTCATCAATCAGGAAGGATGGATGATACTTCATATTTTATATAAATTGTATTTTAAGAAATAGACTATAGATTGCGGCTCCTATTTGTGTCTTTATTTTTCTTTTCACTGGTATTTTTAAAAATTTAGTTTAATAATATATTTCTAATCTGCTCATCTATCTTGTAGGTTCTGAAAGGACATGATGATCATGTGATCACATGCTTGCAGTTCTGTGGTAACCGAATAGTTAGTGGTTCTGATGACAACACTTTAAAAGTTTGGTCAGCGGTCACAGGCAAAGTAAGCTTTCTTCTTTCCACACTTCACATTTTATGTATGCCTTTGCAGGGACCAACCAGGAAAAAAATAAGGGTTCATTTTTGACTGCAGCTTATTTTGATAACAAATATCAGAGCTTCTAATTTATTTAGTTTTTCCGGTGGCACAAAGATCATGTTTCTCAGGATACGATGTCATTAGTTTCTTCTTGTAAATAGTCAGTCTATCTTTGTGACTTAGCTATTGTATAATTCTCACAGGTGTGCTTTATCTTTTTTTGGTTAATTTTTCCCACTTTTATTAGCCATCTCGCTTATATTGTCTTTTGTAAACTTTTTTAAAACTATGATTGAGGGATATGTGTTTTTTCTGCTTTGTTGGTAACTTACCTATAGTTTAGAAGTTGAATAAATCATGTTAATGTAGACTTATCTCAAGCCCTATGAGATGAAAGTTAGGCAGATACGATATATAAGTGAAGGAGTTTGAAGAAAAGAAGTAGTCTAAGCAATTAATTTCACTGTGCGCAGTATTATATTTTAATTGTTCTATAGTGAATACTTATTTTTATCTGTCCAATGGAGAATGTTTTCATGACTTAAGTAACTGACTAGCTAAAAAAAGTAGAGGAAAATGTGAAAAAAACAAAAACCATGTCTTTTAAAATGTCTTACAACACATTGATTCTTGGGCAAGAATCTTCTAAAATATTCCAAGTCAGATGTTAGAAATTTTTTTAAAGCAGCTTCATATTTCCACAGTGTAATATTAGCTTTGGACTTATTTCAGAGTTTTAATATCTGTCTTTACTTGTCCAGAAGTACTTTGCCTGGCTCCTAACTACTGCCTTGGGGCAGATTCAGATGAAATGTGGTATGTAAGCCACACCTAACACAGTTGGCGTTCTTTCATTGAATCCATTCATATGGAAGAAAGAAGTTGCAATTTTAGCATTATTTCATCAAAAAGACCAGGCTGGAGCTGTCTTACTTTAATGAGAAGTGTTTTACTTTCTACGTACTTGTTCCTCAGTTGTACGTGTGTGTTTAATATATAATGCTACTGAATTAAAAAACCAATAAATAGTGATGGGATCATGTTATATTGATGTGAGGAATTATTTTTTGATGTGCCAGTCAAATTTTGTAAATAACTTTACCCCAAAATTTAATGAGCTACTGAAATGTTATAATACATCATTTTCTTTTCTACCCAAAAGTAATCATCTTAAGTGTTTTTCCAGTGTCTGAGAACATTAGTGGGACACACAGGTGGAGTATGGTCATCACAGATGAGAGACAATATCATCATTAGTGGATCTACAGATCGGACTCTAAAAGTGTGGAATGCAGAGACCGGAGAATGTATACACACCTTGTATGGGCATACTTCCACTGTCCGTTGTATGCATCTCCATGAAAAAAGGTAAGGGGAAATCCTTTCTCTGTTACTTGTGAATCTGAGGCCTTTTGTGTAGAGTTCAGTTGTATAAAACTGTGTTTATTAGAGAGATAGTGATAATGTGATGTTAAATTAGACTTTATTAGACTTCAGATGTTTCTATACTAGCAAAGCAGTAGTGTGTTGGCTTAAAATTGGGGATTGTCTAAATTTCCGTCTTCATTTAGTAGTGTTGTTGGCTTCCTCCTTGAAACTCTATTTTCTAATCTTGTGTAGCATTTTATTGTTGTACAGCTTTGATGACTCATCATCTTCAAAAATTTCTCTCTCTCTCTCTTTTTTTTTTTTTTTTTTTTGGTGTTTATATCCCTGCTAGTGGGATAAATTCAGTTATTCAGGCTTCAAGCTTCTGAGTCTTTTTAAATACCCACCCACCCTACCTCCACTCCATCCTATCCCCTTATATCTAGGCAAAAGCTGAGGCCCATGGGTTTTAGCTTATTCTCATTACCAGTCACCTGAACTATTGACATAGCTTTCACACTTGGTTTTCTCACCTTTTACATGGCTGACAGAGAATTCTTTTCTAATTATGATAGTGTCATTGCCCTTTGAGGGCCTTCTGTTGTCTATCGAATCAAGGAAGAAATCCTCAATCCAGTTTTCAAAATAGTTTCAGCCAAACCAAACTGCTTGCCTTTTTTTCTTCTCACTGCCTTCACTCTTGCTTTGATCTCCTCCTACAAAGCCCTCCTATTAAAATCCTTTCGATCTCCTATTGGCATGTCTTCACAGTATCCCTGTTAAACAAATGTGATTTCGACTTTACTTTGTCAAAAAAGGTCTGATGGTTCTTACCATAAATCTCCTGCAGTCCTTACCTTTAATTCTGTCCACAGCATCTTCTTTATGAGAACCATTACATTAAGCAGATTTCACACTAGATTTGTAATATGTGAAGAAAAGTATCTTCTCATATGTAGTTTGAATCTACTTTGAACAGTGTGCTCTACTATTAAAATTTGGGGGGTTTGATATTGAGAGACCTTGTATTTCAGTTTCCATTATGTTCTGACTTAAATCACTCAATGCTTTCATTTTCTGCTCTTCCAAATGTGGAATCTATGGCCTTTCGTTATCTCTTTGGAATGACATGAAGATACCTGAGTTTTCAGCTCTCCTTTGTAATCCAAAGGCGATTGTAATATTAGTATCACTCTGGTCTTCAGAAGAGCATACTTTTAATAATGTCAGGCCAAATTTTTAAGGGATTATTGTTGCCTCCCTATGTGTATCTTCTAAAATCTGTACATCTTAATGCCTCCATGCCTATTGACTATAAATATAAGCATATGTAGCCTTCATTTGAGGATTTTCTAAAACTAGTAAATTTTACCAGAATTATATGGTGTAAGGCACATATCTTCAGCTGTTTAAATTTCAAATTCAGATTTGTTTTGTTAAATAACATTTATTAATTTTTTCCCTAATCACAAAGAATATATATTCATAATTAAAATTTTGGGAAATGGCATAAAGAATAAAGAAGAAATGTAAAATTCAAAATACTACACCAGAGTTCTCCCACTAACATTTTATACATGTTGCCCACATTAGCATTTTATTTCTAAAATCAAGATCTTATTGTATATATTTATCACTTGGCAGTGGTGGCGGCTGCTGCTGATGCTTCTTCTCTTCCTTCTCCTCCTCCTCCTCCTCCTTCTCTTTCTCCTTCTTCAAATACAATACAATAGTTTTCAAATTGTCCCACAGAACCCGAGGTGCTCCACAGCCCCTTATAAATGGAGGAACCAAAAGCAGGCAGAACTCTAGGCTTCCCAACCAGAGTAACTTGACTTGTGAATGTTTATATATCACAGTTTTATATAGGATTTCTTTGAAAACAGGTGTTCCTGCTTAAGAAAAGAAAAAATATAATAACCACTGACTTTGTATATCACGTTTACTCATGCTGTTAAAAATTCTAATACTTTTTTTCTGTTTTTTTTTTTCCCCTTACAGAGTTGTTAGCGGTTCTCGAGATGCCACTCTTAGGGTTTGGGATATTGAGACAGGCCAGTGTTTACATGTTTTGATGGGTCATGTAGCAGCAGTCCGCTGTGTTCAATATGATGGCAGGAGGGTTGTTAGTGGAGCATATGATTTTATGGTGAAGGTGTGGGATCCAGAGACTGAGACCTGTCTACACACGTTGCAGGGGCATACTAATAGAGTCTATTCATTACAGGTAAGAGATCCTATCTCTTTTATCCCTTAGATGCTTTACTGATGAATCATAAGATTGTTTTACTCAGACAATTGCTGTCAAATAGCTGATTCAATACAATCCAAAAAATACAGATCAAATCATTCTGTTATATCATATAGTTTAAAATTGGCATGAAGAGGGGCGCCTGGGTGGCTCGGTCGGTTAAGCGTCCGACTTCGGCTCAGGTCATGATCTCACGGTCCGTGAGTTCGAGCCCCGCGTCGGGTTCTGTGCTGACCGCTCAGAGCCTGGAGCCTGTTTCAGATTCTGTGTCTCCCTCTCTCTGACCCTCCCCCATTCATGCTCTGTCTCTCTCTGTCTCAAAAATAAATAAACGTTAAAAAAATTTTTTTTAAATAAATAAATAAATAAAATAAAATTGGCATGAAGAAAGTATAAATTTTGAACTCAAATGATTTGTTTAAATTTTTCTGTGATCATTTTTCCTATAAAATACAAATATTTGTCTTGGAACTTGAGACTTTGGAGCCCTAAGTATTACTATATTAATTATTGGGTAGATAGTCTCATAGGAAAATAACCTGGATTTTAATAAACTCCTTAGCAGAGGATTAATTTGGCCAAAAGCTGCCCCTTTGCCTTGATAGCTGCAAGTTGATGGACCATGTAATTGTGATTCCATCCCATTCACAGTGGAAGTGGAGCCTTTCTACATAAAGCTGCTCTACCAGATGCTCTACCAGCACAGGGCTAGTGATTTGTAGTCGCAAAGAACTGGATTTGACTAAACTGATGTTTTTTGTTTACATTTGAACCTGATATTCTTGAGAAGGTTGCCATATTTTGAAATAAATAGGTTAATAGAAAGTTTAGCAAATGGGTCTTGTTTTATTTTCTGAAAGACAGCATTTTCATTGTAAAAATTTGTCCATTACTGATATAGTTTATTTACCAGTTACTGCCTATTAGTGATCAGCAGATTAGTACACAGTCCCAATGCTGACAGTTCTCTATTCTTGGGATATTTGTTTCTTAATTCATGGAATACTGTCTATGTCACAAAATATTGGCATATAATAAAGATGTGTTAACTTAGAAAATATTATGAATTTGGTGGAGAGAGAATTGGCTAAAGTTTTTTTTATGTTTTGTGATATGCTCAGAACCTTAATGAATATAATATTCTCATTTAAGTAGACCATTAGATTGAGAGAAGAGGTAGCAATATTATTATAGATATTCTAGGAATTGATATTTATTGCCTTTTGGTATAGCTGGGAAGCTGGAGAAGAGGTACCTATATCGCTTGCTTTTGTTATCAAAATGCCACCTCTTATAATTTCAGATATAATTATCTGTTGGCATATTTCCTAATTAGCATTTGGTTCTTATAAATGAAGTTTTTATTTTACAGTTTTTAATGGAACTTACTTTTAAACATCATGAGAGTTATCTCTAGTCTTTTCATGCCTTAGGTGTGTTGATAAACACAGCCTTTAATCACAAGCTTTGTCCATAGTTTCAACTTTCTGTTGTGAAGTAAGACTCCAATAGTAATCCTTATTGAATTATCCCGGATATTTAGCTACTAAGTGTGGCCAGATGATTTGAAAGTAATGCGTTCGTGTTTTGTTTTGTTTCTGCATCTAGTTTGAAGCCACTGGCCATAAAAATAGATAGATAGATAGATAGATAGATAGATAGATAGATAGATAGATA